TTCCTTGAGAATTGTGAAATTTTCAGAGGAGCAGAGTAGGGAAAATAGAGGCAAACTTGTGCATGACAACGGATTTCTGAGCAAACCCGAATACGCGCGCATTGGACCCTCTTCCCGACGCTAATTTTTACTGCTTAATTAGCTTAGTTAATTTGCTTAACTAGTTAATTGTCTGTAATATTTAATTAGCTCGATTAGTTAATTAATTATATTATTCTTTCGGTCCCTCCGAGTGAGGGCGAATTTGTAATAAGTGTGGGTGCGTGTGTGCATGTCTTCCAATCCCCACTTCTTTCTCCCTTTTACTTACCTACTTTTGATGGTTAGTATTAGGGCATATTTACTTTAGCATACCTTATGCTATGCATGCGTGCATCATTCATCAGTCTTGCATGCACCGGGCTCGGCGCATCATGCTAACTGCATAGTATTTCGAATTCCAAACTTGAATACATGCATCAAATTATTGCATTCCACATGTCATCCTTAGATTAGCCGAGCCTATTCTAATGACATTTTGTATGCGATACATTAGCCATTTTTAACATGAACTAGGATCATGCATGATTACTGACTAGTTCATTGTTTTGGCACGCACTACTACAAAAATAGTTAAAGATCACACTTTAACAAAAAAAAAGATCTCACTTTTATTAGAAGTGTGATAAAAAAAATTAGATTGATATTTTAATCACACTTAATTTGATTGAGTGTGATAATATTTATTTTTTATGTCACTTTTCAATTAAGTGTGATTATATGTATATATTTTTAATCACACCTTCTAATTAAAGTGTGATTATAGTATACCTACTACTTTCTTTATCACACTTTTTAACAAGTGTGATTAAATATCCTACTATTTTTAATCACACTTTAAACAGTTGAATATTTTTTTAAACACTTATTAAAATGTGTATTATTATTCTTTAATCACACCTTCTAATTAAAGTGTTGATTATCATATACACTATTATTTTAATCATACTTTTAAACAAGTGTGATATATATACTATTTTTTAATTCACACCTTCTAATTAAGTGTGATTATATATACCCCACTATCAGTTTTTAATCATACTTTTTAAACAAGTGTGATTAATATTATATTTTTGTATCACACCTTCTAATTAAAATGTGATTCATTTATATATTTTGTTATCACACCTTCTAATTAAAGTGTGGATTATATATACACACTAACTTTTAATCACACTTTTAACAATGTGATTATATTATATATTTTAATACACAACCTTCTAATTAAAGTTGATTATTTTCTTATATATTTTTTAATCAGCCCTTCTAATCTAAAGGTGTGATTATATAGTAACACTACGTTGACTTTTTTAAATCACACTTTTTTAATAAATGTGATTTATATATATAGTTTTTTAACCACACATTCTGCAATTTAATAAGTGTGATTATTTTATATATTTTTTAATCACACATTCTGTATATTTAAAGTGTGATTATAATATACAGCTAACTACTTTTTAATCACATTTTTTAAATAGTGTGATTATAATAATATATTTTTAAATCACACATTTTAATTAAGTGTGATTATATTACATTTACTACTTTTAATCACATATTTTTAAATAAGTGTATTATATTATATATATAATATATATTTTAATCACACTCCCTAAATAGTGTGATTGTTAATAAATATTTTAAATTTTGATTTTTAATACTAAAAGTATATAATTGCCAAATCCCACGCCTTCTATTCTTACCCAATGAACGATGAGAGACGACTCATTACTAAGATGACTCGCAAAAAAAAAAAGAGTATCTGCGACGATACCAGCTTAGTTGCAAAAAAAAAAAAAAAAAAAAGAGTTTTTTGGACTTGTAATATTGCGTACCATTGCAAAAAATAATATATAATATATTGTGCTTTGAGACGGCTTCATATATATAGTCATAAAATGGTTTAAATAATGCCAACGGTATTTTTTCTGTTACAAAAAAAAAATAAAAAAATAAAAATCGACGTATCTTACTCTTTTGGAAAACATTTCTCTTTCACACATTTTTTCATCTTCTAGTCTCTATGGTCTCTGTCTCTCTTTCTTCTCTCATTCTCCACTCATAACCTCTTTCTGTCTGTCTCCCGTCTGTCTGTCTCTGTCTCTCTTATCTCTCTCTTTCAGCTCATCACTCTTTTTGTTGTTTGTCTTTCTTTCTCTATGTCTCTTCTCTCTTCTCTTCTCTCTCTCACTCACACTCATCACTTTCCTCTTCATCTGCTCTCTCTCACTCTTTCTCTCTCGTCATCTTTCTTTTTTAGTCTCTCTTCTCTCTCTATCTGCTTTCTCTTAATTGTCTCTCGCTCATCTCTCTCTGTCTCTCTCTCGTTTATTGTCTTTCGCTCTTTCGTCGTATCTCTCTCTATGTCTATATCTTTCAATCCATTTTTTCATCCTTCTTTCTCTCTTCTCTTCTCTTTCTCTCTCCACTCATCACTCTCTTCTCTCGTGTCTGTTTGTCCTATCTGTCTCTCTCTCTGTGTCTCTTACTCATCTATCTCTTCTCTCATCTCTTTTTTCTCTCTGTCTATTTCGCTCATCTCTCTTCTCTCTATCTTTCTCTCTGTCTCTCTCGTTCATCTCTCTTCTCTTTATGTCTCTCTCGCTCATATCTCTTTTCTCTATCTCTCTCTGTCTCTCTGGTCTATCTCTCTTCTCTCTATGTCTCTTTTTTGTCTCTTACTCTCTATCTCTTTCTCTTTTTTTTCTCTCTCTCACTGTGTTTGCGTTGCTCACTCTCTCACTCCCGTCTTCTCTATTTACTGAGCTCCCTCTCGATTTATCGATCCATTACAAGAAAATGTATTTTTAGCGACCACTTTGTCTCTTTTTCGCTCATCACTCTGTCTCTCTCTCTCTCCTCTATCTGTCTCTCACTCATTTCTCTCTCTCACCACCCATCTCCTCTAGTACCTTCACTACTACTGCAAACGCCATTTCACAACCAGCACTAGTTCTACTGTTGCTACTTCATCTCTACGACTACCATTACTACTACTATCGCCACCACTCCACTACCACCACTACCATTACTGCTACTACTATTACCATTACTTCTCTTTCACCCCTGCCACTCCATTTACACTACCACAACTTCAGTACTAATCTCTTTCGCCATAACCATCACCACCACCATCATCTCTTATCCACTACCTTCACCACTGTTGCCGTTTCCTTTCCTCTACCACAAAAAATTAGTTCATGATTTTTAGTAACCAAAAAAAATACACCGCAAAAAAATATTTTTCATTGACTACAGAAAATTAACTTTTATTTTAGTGAAAAATATTTTTTATTAAAATATATATTACCCCTACTTCTACCAAATACAAAATAATAATATTTTTTCATTAAAATAAAAATAAAACAAATAAATTTTCAATATTTGTAACTAAAAAAAAAATTTAAAAAAATTCATTAATTACAAAAAAAAAATATTTTTTTGACAAAAAATAAATTTATTTATTTATTTTTATTTTTATTTTTCATTCCCGCCCCTTTATTTTTTTTCATTCCCGCTCCCCCCTTTGTTTTTTTCCCATTCCCGCTTCCCCCCCTCCCCAAAAAAAAAATCCCCAATCTCGAACCCAAAAAATCCCTAATCTCTTCTTCCCCCCCTCTCTCTCTCTCTCTTGATCGACGGCGAGCGGCGGAGGAGCAGCGTCGGAGGAGGAAGAGGAGCAGCGTCGGAGGAGAAGGAGCAGCGTTGGAGCAGCAGCAGATCTTCCGATGTTGCCTGGCCTCACCAAGTCCTACCCTATCACTCCTTCTTGTATTCATAGTTTTATCATTAGACAGTATCTGATATGTGTTCAAGTATCTGATGATTTGATTCCTGAAAATATTCTCTGTTTATTTTGACTAGGTCATTTTTGAAGGGGTTTATGCTTTGCACCCTGATATCAGAAAATCACTAGACTTGTGGATTGCTGTTGTAAGGATGAATGCCACTTCATTTCTGAGGCTTTATATTTTATTTTTTTGTTGATTAACCTTCTTGTTTCTCGTTGTCTGTATCAATTTCTTTTGGATAAGTAGAAATACTTGTTATGAGATAACCGGTTGTTTGAAAACAGGTTGGAGGTGTTCATTCACATCTTATTTCTCGAGTTCAAGGGGACAAAAGTAGAGTTGGGTGCTTTATGTCCCAAAATGACATTATGACGACAGTGTTTCCAATGTTCCAGCTGCACATTGAACCACATCTTGTTTATGCACATGTTAGTAGATTCGAAACCATTTGAGGTTTATTATTGTTGCATAATTTTGTGTATAATACGTATACAGTAGTGTAAATGAGATTATTGCCCTTACATCTTCATGTGACATACTGGATGGAGTAGAAATTTTTAGATGTAGATGATCACTCAAAATTGGAAACATATGCAGCTTTGAGCTTGAATTGTTAGTATTGCAAGTTTGCAACAAAGAAAACCATGTGAATGGACCCATTTTATAATATTTATTTATAGTTGTTTTGAGGAAGTTGAAATTAATCAAGGAGAAGGTAAAGGAGTGGAATAGGGAGATATTTGGCAACTTGAATAGGCAAAAAGGACAAACCGGACAGCATGTCGGAGCAAGGAGAGGTGGGAATCCTCTACAGATGCAGCACTAGCATCAGCATGTACATTATTGTTCTCTATGTTGTCTCCAAGCGTTGTTTTTCATTTCTTCCTCCTTATGCTTTATGCATTTATATAATCAAGGGTCTTTGGCCTTGGAATTAGATCGAACGTGACATACACTTTGTAATTTTTAAAAATTCCAGCCTTGTTGGAAGGCTAATATAAAAAAACTTTAGCAAGAATTCCCAGTGACTGATTTATGAATGTCTTTGTCCCATGTATGTTAAGACTATTGTGTTCTGCTTTTGAATTTCATGATCTCTCTAACGGTGTTGTATGTATTTTTGTTGTCATTTTAAATTAGTTAATGCATTGAAACACCAAACAAGGCTTAAGATATGTGGCCAGCACACGAAATGGTATGGACCCATCTATTGTTCCTCAAGGTCTCATGGCTCCAATGATGCCATTACCTTTTGATGTTTCGGGAATGTCAACGACTCCATTGGATGTTCATCGTCCTGGGCCAGTGCCTATGTCAACACTTGCTTCTGCTCTGGCTTCTGCTACGCCAGAGAATCAGCGCATGGTGAGTTTTTTAATCTTGTCTCTTCATTTCAGCTTCCATGGCATAAAAATCTAAAAACTACTTTGAAATGTTGGTTCTTGATTCTGAATGTTTGCAATGGCCTTGTTGTCAAAAATGACAGATGTTAGGGGAACAACTATTTCCTCTAGTGGAGAGGGTTGAGCCTGACCATGCTGGAAAAGTGACAGGCATGTTGCTGGAGATGGACCAAACCGAGGTTCTCCATCTTATCGAGGCTCCAGATGCTCTGAAGAAGAAAGTTTCCGAGGCTTTGGATGTCCTCCATTTAGCATCATCGGGACCCAATGTTGGTGATCAGCTCGGCTCATTGTCCTTGAACGAATGAAGCGAGCCCAATTTGGCATGGTATATACATTTCTTCTTTAATATATGCATATGCATTTGTAGAGGCCTAGTGTTATTTATTTTTAGGGTTCATGAGCTGCGATTGTGGGGTTTTCTCCTAAAATTTCTAGGATCTGTTTCATTTTTGTGGGGGGTGGCAAATTGGTTGCTGAAATACTTTTTAGGGTTGGGATTTGGTATGGAGAGAGTTTGAAGATCTGGGAATTGGTATTAGGATTATTATTTTTATTTTCAGTTTGTTTAGACTTTTCTATCATTTTTAAAGTTTGTTCAGTTATCAAGGATTTGATTGGTATTCTTTTGACCTATAGTTGTTCTCAGCTATTATTTTGATCCTATTTATTAGCAGTTGTTCTAGGAACAGAAAAACTAATTCGGTTATTTGATTGGTTTCTGTCATATTGCTTGCCTTTATAATCTGTGTCGGGATCCAAACCGTTGATTGGTGTGGTGTTGTCGGTCTTACGTAGGGGACACACTAACTAATCGATAGCTTGGAACTTGTGTGTGCGGTACCATTCTGCCGGCCTTGTTCCATTTTAAAATCCAAATGCTTCGTTCTCAAACACCTTTCCATGCGTTAAGAAGCTTTGCAATGTTTTCTGTTGATATAAAGCTAATGTTGCTGTTACTTTTTTTTTTAATCAAAATTTGTTGATACCATTTTTTAATCAAAATGTTGAAATGATGAGTCAGTTTAGATAATAGTTGTTAAGGTGTCTAGATTTTGGAACACTGTTTTATACTCACACATAACTATGCATGTGTAAAATAGTGTGTACCATTATCTTTTAATTAACATATAACTATGGTCTCAAGTAAGAGAATATATTCTATTTAAATCAAAGCATTAATAACAAATTGATCAATAATAAATAAATAAATAAAAGATACTGTTTTTGTAATAAAATAAATAAATGTATTAATATAAATTATTAAAAAATCATTAATAACAAATTAATCAATAATAAAGATGATTATAAAATAAACATTACAAACATAAAAATTATAAATAAAATCAATAAAAAATAATGCAACTGAGATCTTGATTTTATAAAAATAAAAGATTTATTAAGATAGCTTGTATACTCCCTATCTGAAAAATAATAAATAATAATAATAATAATAAGGGAATTTTCAGGAGAGTGGAATGGGAGCACATAACCTCTGAATTTGGGTTCAACAGTGATTGTTTTGTGCAGTACTAAGAGAGTTTTTTTTAAAAGCAAATCCATTGTAGTTACAGTTTGGTATAACTCTCCTTCTCATAGAACTTTCATAGAACTTTCTGTTAAACTCTAGTTCGTTAGACTATTACATAATTTTCTCAAGTTCTCATCTTGGTACATAAGTAAAACTTCTAGTTATGTATATGTACGCCATCTGCAGTGACATGGAGTATGACATGCACTCACTCAAAGTGGCTCCATGCCATCCTTTAAGATGAATAATCTTGTTTTTTAAAATTTTTTTTTTATGGTGGTTTGTTTTCTTTTTCTAAATAAGTTGGTTTTGTTAGTAGCTTATTAACAGATAGCTTGTGGCTTATTAAGAAACTGGGGACATATGTCCTCTGAATTTAGGTTCAACAATCATTGTTTTGGCAGTACTTGGAGATTGGGTTTTTAGAGTAACTTTAATGTGGCTTAGTCGGATAATTCTCTCATAGAGCTTTCTGTTAAAATCAAGTTTTTAGACTATTACATTAATTTGCTCGTGGATCAATACATCTTAATACATGTAACACAGTAAAACTTCTTGTTTTATATGCATCTTCTGCAGTGACATGGAGTATGACATGCACTTTCTGGCTTCAAAAGACAGAGAGGAGATCCTCTTACTGCTCGTTCCAGTACCGAGGCGATATCGTGCTCTTGCTGATCGTACTCTAAGAACTTCTCTGGCTTCGTTGGCTCCTCGCTGACATGGGTGTTACCCCCTCTGGTGCTACTGACCTTTTTGTGACAATCACAGTGCTCTTCAAATTGCTCACAATGATGTTTTTCATGATCGCACCCAAGCACATTTGAGATTGGACTGCCATTTTATTCGTCAACACGTCGCTCGTGGTACAGTCCATCTCCATCCGATTTCTTCTGTTGATCAACCTGTTGATATCTTCACCAAAGCTCATTCTCCTGGCCGCTTCGTTGAACTGTCTCCAAACTCCAGTTGGTTGATGTTTTTCCTCCTTGAGTTTTGAGGAGGGCTGTTAATGTATTATATAATATGTATGTATCATAATATTATATTATATTAGCATGTATAATATTATACTAATGTAATGCATATATTAATTATACATAGTTTATAGGATGCCAGAGCAGTGCCTCACTTTCGGCTGCTTTCGACTACTTTATTTTATTTTATGCTCCACTTTCATCATAATGTTGTATCACACAACTCCTATAAATGAAGTCCCTTCTTACAACTTCAGATATTCAATATACAAGATTTTCTCTTACTCTCTTAATATCACTCCTTATTTCTTTCACAAGGAATGTATTACCATCCACAAATGGAAGTATATGAAAAAAAAGAAAGATTATTCATAAGATGTAAAATTAATATCAGCATAATGAAGCATTTTTACCAAAGCACCAATGAGGCCTAAGCTCGTCAGCCTCAAGTACTCAAATGGCCTTGATTTACTTGTTGTATTAAGAAAAGGGTACAGATAAAGAGGAATATGAGCTGCAAAGGACAAACCATCAGTTAGGACAATTTCGTCTAAATTTCAAGAGACTTCTGAGTAAAATAGGCATCAACAAAAAGTCATAGGAAGAATTATCTATTTTCCTTGTAATGGGGTGGACTCACATCACTAAACCTTCACTTATACAAATGGCTACATTAACCACCAAAGTAGCGAACGACCTCCGAACAAGGGCTAAGACTCCCTTCACCCCCTATCGTCAATCTGTCTTTGAGGAAATTAACCGATTCCCCTTGATCTAAGCTCAAACCGATTTTGTTTGCCGTAAAACCAATAACGCTGGTGATTTCGAATCCCTAATTACATCCTTAGCCCTCGATGAAACCCCTTCAGTAGAAGAGATCAGAATCATTAGAAATCTGAAAACAATCATATACATACAAATATCATAGAGAGAGAGAGAGACAGAGAGGCACCCCAGTTCCCTCAACCGTCTCAACCCGACAACCCGCAACCACGCCCCTCCCTACCTCATCTACGCCGTCAAAGGGAGTGATTATAAGCTTATGCTGATAATCATTTAGGTATGCAAATGTTTGAGGGAGAAGAAAAGAGATAAGATGAGTGCGTACCGTCGATTGTTACTGCCTCCAAACCAGTCTTCCGTACCATCGAAGTGTCCAGAAAGAGAGTGTAACAACCCTCATAACTGTTTACTGATTAATGACTGATTGATTACCGATAATCACCGATTACTGCTAACGAAACTGATAATGACTGATAACTGACTGATAATTGAACTGATTAAAAGTACTGAACTGACTGACTAAAATTGAAACCGAATTGATTGAGTATATGTTAGTTAAGTTGCATTCTATCTGTTTGACTGTATGATTATCTGTTCATGCTTATATGTTTAACTGCTAATGGAAGGCCTTATCGGCGGCCGAATCCAAAATTGATTGATGTTTTAATGATCAACATAATTTATGTGATTTATAGTATAATTATTCTGAAAATTGATTAGGCATGAATAAATTAAGCTAATTAAGAGTTGGACTTAATTACCGTTTTGCCCTTGAGTGGGCCACTATCTCACACATTTAAGCCTTGTATACACTCAATACAATTACTTGAGCCTCAATATACACCTAGATCAAACATTGCATCAGCTCATTTCTTGTGCTTAACCGACCAAGAAGAGGGAGAGGGAGAGAAATTGAGTTCTACCTTGTAAATTGCTTGAAAATTGAAGTGTGGATGTTAATTTGAACCTCTAGACTTGCATTCAAGGAACCTAGGTATGAATTTTCATCCTTTTGACTTGTGTTTAAGTTGATTCATGCATGATTCATGCTCATTGTAGAACTAAGTCTGTGTTTTGGTTCATTGTTGTTGAATTGGAGCTTGATTGTTGCATGGCATGTACAATATATTGGAGTTTTGAGGTTGTAGTTTCATATTCCTCAATGCATGTTCATAATTTTGTAATGGTCCATGTTTTCAACTTGTTTTTGGATCAATTGGCCTCCTAGAGCATCAAATTGAAGCTTTTAAAATGATTTAAAGATCATGCATGTCATGTTTTGAGGATTGTCCTTGGAAAATGGTTTGAAATTGGGTTTGAATAAAAACCCTTGGGCTTTGATTTCTCAAATTGAGTTTTTGAATCATGTTTAACTATGAGTTTAACATGTGTTTTCTGGAAATTTAGCCCAAGAGGTCGAGTTTTGATTGCTTTTGAACTCTGGTTTTGGAGCTTGGAGGTGCAATCTGGGTTTTCCAGATTTCGCACTTCCGCTCGAGCGGGGGAAGTGCCGCTCGAGCGTGGAATCGAGCATCCAGCATCTCTCTGCACTGTTTTTACAGTCCGCTCGAGCGGAGGATTGGCGGCTCGAGCGGAGTCTTGTCTCAAGCTCGAGCGGGCGTCGAGCGGAGATTTTCACCCATCCAGTACTTTACAGTACGCTCGAGCGGAGAAGTTTACGCTCGAGCGTGTACCTTTGTGTGCATGGACCGCTCGAGCGGGGAAACGTGCGCTCGAGCGGAACCTGTTTTTCTGAAAATGCTTTTAAGTGTATTTTTGCATCCTCATCCCATCCTAGGCATTTTTTAGGCCTAGTTTAAGACATTTACGAATGAGGATATGTTGTAGAACACACCAAGGCAAATAGGGATTAAGTTATGATATTTTCCAACTGTGTAGCTTAGTGTGTGTTCACCTGTGAACTGTGTAGGGTTGGCAACTGGGGAGACACGCTCTAGCATACTGTAGCCCAGAACTCTGTGAGTAACAATTGTGTAAAGATATGTTCAACTGATATCTTTGAATACTGAACTGAACTGTTTGCTGAACTGGTATTACTGAATGAATGTATGTCCTTTATTTTTCTGAACTGTACTGTGGCATCCTTAGTACCTACTGTTTACTGTTACTGTTACTGTTACAGAGATCTCTGTCGGTTCCCTCGTGGAGCCACTACTGTTTACTGACTGATGGCCATCATTACTGTTCGTCTTTTAAGACTACTGTCACTGTGTTGCTAATGGATGTACCCACATATGACTGTTTACTGTACCTGAACAACTGAAATACTGATTGAATTGAACTGTTTTCATTACTGTAAGGACATTCATTCTAAACCCCTTACGCTTTATGTTATTCACTGGGTTTTAGCTCACTGCTCATATATATATGTAGGTGTACAGGCACCAGATCGGAGCTAGGAGCGTCAAGGGTAACTCCAGTTTTGTCAAGCCAGCCTTTGTGCCTCACTGCGAGGTTCCGAGCCTTCTGTTAAGGCTTAGGGGTCTTTTACAATTCCCCTCCTGTACTGTTTCTGTTCTGTATAGACTGAATGTTTACCGTACTGTTATCAAGGGATTAGGTCCCTGTACTGTGTGACTGTAAATTTTGTATAGACTGTACTGTTTGTGTATGTACGAATGCATGAAAAATCTTTTTGGCATACAGACTGTCACAGCTCATTGGACATTGTTTAATTACTGTATTGGCTTCCGTCAGGCCCTGTACTCTGTTTCACTGTATTACTGTTAAGCAGGCCTTCGGTAATCTCGGATTTACTGGTCGGTTACGGTGCTAAACCCATAGGGCCGGGTTTGGGTCGTGACAGAGAGATTGAAACCCTTCCTTCCCCTGCGAACACTTTCTATCTCTCCCTCTCTCCTCGTTTTCCCCCTTTGAATCGTGTTCTTTGTTCCTTCCTTTATGATTAGAACCATTAGGTATAGATAGATGTTAGGAGCTGGGCTTTTGATTTTGATTTTTTATTTTTAAATATTTTTTTTTGGGTGTTTGGCGCCTCGAAATTTTTATTTTAGCGCCATTTTTTTTCCATATTACCTTTCGGACACCAATTGCATGTCATGGAAATATAACATTTTAAACGTTGATTTTTTTGTGCGTAGTGAAAGTAAAAATTTTAACGATTGACTTTTTGAGCCGTGAAATGTTCAATATTTTTAACAGTTGGTATACGCGTGTCGTATATAGTTGATGTATTAACGCCATATCATATGTATATCATAGAAAGTTTTATTATTTACGGCTGACATTGCAAGTCATAAAAAAATAATCGTTATTAGCATTTACAACCTACGCAATAGACACGTCGTGATTGAAAAAATTATTTACGACATGCAAAAAAGTTAATCGTAAAAGTGGGAAATTACGGCTTACATTTACGTATGCCATTGATGTGAAGTCGTAAAAACCCAATTTTGTTGTAGTGGAGAGAAGAGAGAGAGAGAGAGAGGTTACTTCAGTACTAGGTATTCAAGTACAACGACTATGAAAACCAGACTCTGGTTCCGACCCACTGAGCATACGACCCTTCTTCAAGTACTAGCCAATCCTCCCGACCGGGAACAGAAGGCAAGGAGAAGAGACCTGTGTGCTTGTGAAATTCAATCTTATTGGGAATGGAAAGAGTTGTCCTCTGTCATTCATGGGTAGAATAGAGGCGCGAATTTGAGAATTGTATATTTTTATAAAAATAAAATTTAAATATTTTACAATCATACCTATTTGGGAGTGTGATTAAATATATAATATATATATATATATATATATATAATTACACTTATTTAAAAAGTGTGATTAAAAAGTAGTAACGTATATATAATCACACTTTAATTAGAAGGT